TATGAAGGATTATTGAAGGTGTTTTTGGATTATTGAACCATTTTTGGTCAAAAGCACTTTCAATAATCCATTTCAAAATTTTTCAGGGATTATTGAAGGCATTTTTGGCCAAAAATGCCTTTAATAATCCCTTTAATAAATTTTTATGAGAGATTATTAAAGGTATTTTTTGTCAAAAATACCTTAACAAAATTTTTTGTATGGATTATTAAAGGTATTTTTTTTTATTAAAAACACCTTCAATTTTTTCTCTTCAAAATTTTTTGAATGGATTACTAAAGGCATTTTTTGTCAAATATGCCTTCAATAATCCCATTCAATTTTTTGTAAGCTAATAGTTTTTTTTTTTTTTTGTTTTGAGCCTATACTGACGGTTATATTAATAACCACCAGTATATAACATATTTATACTGACAGATAGTCATATACCATCAAAAAAAATTTATTTACACTAACGGTTAAATAAAGTGTTGGTATAAGTATGGTATAAGTATGGTATATTTTGATGATATTAAAAATCTATCAGTAAAAATCTTTTTTACTAACTAAATTGAACCGTTAGTAAATAATCCATACAAAATTTTTTGTATGGATTATTGAAAGCGCTTTTAGCTATAAGTGCCTTCAATAATCCCTCTCCAAAATTTTTTAAATGAATTATTGAAGGCATTTTTGGCAAAAAATGCATTTAATAATCCCATTTAATTTTTTGTAAGCCAATAGTTTTTTTTTAGCCTATACTGTTACATTAATAACCGTCAATATATAATATATTTATACTAATAGATAGTCATATACCGTCAAAAAAATTTATTTATACTGACGGTTAAATAAAATATTGGTATAAGTATGGTATATTTTGACGATATTAAAAATTTATTAGTAAAAGTCTCTTTTCTGATAGAATTTGATCATCAGTATAACCAAATGTCAGTATATGAAAATAATTTTATAGTATTAAATAATTTTCTAAAAAAATTGATTAGCATTATTTAAGGCGTTTTTTGGCAAAAAATGCCTTAAATGATCCTAAAAAATGCTAAAGGAAATGGTTAAACCTATGACCTTATAGTTAATAGCTATATACTCTAGCCAACTAAGCTATTCTAATTTTTTTATATTTTATGTCTTAAATTTTATAAGTAATGAAATGAATTATTTAAAATATTTTTAGTCAAAAATACCTTAAATAATACGGTCCAAAAAGTTGAAGGGTATTATTTAAGGTATTTTTGGTTAAAAACATATTAAATAATCTCCTTAAAAAAAATTAAATCACTAAAAAGAGGGGTCAAACTTACAACCTTATAATTCATAACCATATACTCTAACCAACTGAGTTACTCCATTTTTTTTTATATTTTATCTCTTAAATCTTATAAGTAATGAAATGGATTATTTAATGTATTTTTAATAAAAAGATACCTTAAATAATACAATCCAAAAAAGATATAGGTATTATATAAGGGTTTTTTTTTTTTTACCAAAAATACCTTAAATAATTCTCTTTAAAAAACATTAAAGATTATTTAAGGTATTTTTGATAAAAAATGAGAGATTATTTAAGATGTTTTTGACTAAAAACACCTTAAATAACCCCCTTTAAAATATTAAAGATTATTTAAGACATTTTTAGTAAAAAAAAACCTTAAATAATACCCTTCAAAAAATTGAAGGGTATTATCGAAGGTGTTTTCCCTTTAAAAAAATATTATAGATTATTTAAGGCATTTTTGATAAAAACATATCTTAAATAGTCCACTTAAAAAAAATATTAGAGATTATTTAAGTAGTTTTAGACCAAAAATACCTTAAATAATTCTCTTATAATTTTTAAATGGCATTTATTTAAGGTACTTTTAGACAAAAAATGTCTTAAATAATCCCATTTAAAAAGATAAAGGGGATTATTTAGGGCATTTCTCAATCAAAAACACCTTAAATATTTCTCAATATTTTTTTATTGATAATATTTTATAAATAAAAACAACAATAAAATAAAATATTTATCTTCTTTTGCTGTTAAAAGCATCATTTGTCATTTGGGTATTTATTATTAATAAAAACTAATAAAAAGTTGTCATCATATATGTTAAAGAGATTATGATAATTATTTAGGAATTAATATATGTGGATTTCTTCTAATTAAATTAGTGAATCTGAATACGGGATACCTTAAAAATAAAAAAAAAGATCTCGGGTATCGTACTTTTTTGGGGATCACACTTTTTTCCAAGATCCAAGATTCCATGAACCAAATGCCCCTTAAGAGATACCCTCAAGCTTGAAACCTTAGCTTTTTTTCTTTTTTTTTTTGCATGTTTTTATGGATTTCTATTTATGTGATGTTGTAATTTTTTATTGTAAGTTGCCATTTTAGGTTTGATTCTCAGATTTTTTATGGTGGGTTTTTCTGTTGTAGCCTAGAGAACATTATTTGTTACCCAAAGACCAATGTTCCAAGACCAAAGACAAAAAGAAAAAAAAACAACTCAAAAAATAGAGTGAGAAGGAGTAGTAAGGTAGGTTTTTCAAGTGAATGGCAAGAGAGAAGGAAAAGGAAAGAGAAAAAAGAATAGAGAAAAAAAATAAAGGTAATAGGATATCTAGCAACCACTGGCGTACGATGGCAATAAAGGCGGCTGATAGTGGTGAGTAGGTTTTCACTAGTGAATTGGTAAAAGGGAATTTAGATATCGATAAGAAGGTTTTGAAAAATCCATTCTTAGAAAAAAAAGAAAGATCAAATGAAGGATTTTTTAGGGATTCAAATGTCGGTTGGCAAAGTCTGGCATAAATGACTAGCATTGCACTGAATTATAGAAATGATTGTGGCTGCTGATTTTAGACATAGATGAATTAAAGAGAAAGAGGAACTAGAGAGAGAAAGGAGGAAAATGAAAAAGGTGAAAATTTTTTAGAGTGCATTTAGTTTGGAGGAATTCACAAATTTTCTTTCAAAATCTTGATAATAGGTATTTGATTCTTACATTTAGTTCAAGGTCATTCGATTAACGAAAAAAATGTCAAATTTTCAATAACACTCAAAATATCAAAATTAGAAACCCATCTCTCTCTATAGTATTCTAGGATTTCGAAAGAAAGTTACTTTATTTCAAAATTTGATCTGAATATAAAATTATCATATAGCTGTTACTCTTATGAAAAATATATCTGAAAATGACTAGAATTCAGTTGTAGTTTTTTGTTAGTTTAATTTTTTTATTTTTTTACATTAAAAGTAAGGTGTTTGACATGAAAAAATGCCTTAATTGTAGATCAATTAAGATGTAATGCCTTAATTGATGAATTAAGGCATTTTTGAAGAAAAACACCTTAAATTATCTTTTAAGGCATTTGTCTGGAAAAATGCCTTAAATGATCATTTAAGGCTTTTGTGAATAAACACATCTTAAATGATCTAATTTATATATTATAAAAGATGATCATTTAAGATATTTATGTACAAAAACGCTTTAAATAATTAATAAATTAAAGCATTATAAAAAAAATAAAATGACCACTTAAGGCGTTTCTGTTAATTTAAGGTGTCTTATAAAATGATCTTTTAAAGCCTTACAATTAAGGCATTTGACATGAATAAACGCCTTAATTGTAGATCAATTAAGGTGTTTGGCTTAAAGAAAAACATCTTAATTGATGATTTAAGGCATTTGTGAAGAAAAACACCTTAAATGATAATTTAAGGTGTTATATTATAAAAGATAATCATTTAAAGTTTTTTTGTACAATCAAATGATCATTCTTTATAATGCTTCAATTATACCGAAATATAGTACACCTACGGATGATTTTTCATATTGGATTTAAAAACAAGTAATATCGGTTTTTTTTGTTAGTTTTGGCTTGTCTTGGTAAATTTCGGTGAAATAACATGTTTCAGCCGGTAAGTGAATATGAAATATATTTTGTAATTTTTAACTTTTTTTATTTAATAAAAATAAAATTAATTGACAAAATAACCCTTAAAAGCTGAGTTTTTTTTATTTTTATTTTTATTTTTTGTACTTTATTTTTTCAAACCAAAGTTTATAAGTATTTTAATTTTTTTTGAAAACAATTATACTCATTTTATAAAGTTTAACAATCATAAAGTCTTGGTTAATTTTTTCATATCTTTGTTTTTATCTTAATATTTATATGAAAAATATTTATTTAAATATCATATGATCAGATTAAGTGTTTAAAATATCATGAAAATTTTATGATATTATTTCTTATACTTTTAAACTTATTTATTTGATTTTTGAATATATTGCATATTTATTTTGTAGATTATTAATAATATTATAATGTATAAGTTCACATATATATTTATAAATATATTTGTATTAAACCAAAAAATCTGAAATAATATACAAAACATTTAGTACCGATATATATCATTTTTTAAAAAAGAAACCAAAACCTTATATGATAGATATTAATAACCTTGGGATTCCATGTTCAAAGCTATATATATATATATATATATATATAAAATTTTTTTTGTACTATTTTTGTGTCCTGTCACAATATCATGTCTAAAATTGTGAGATCTAGAATTAAGTAGTTCAGTGTCCATGATAACTACATACTAGGCAACCATTGATTGTGAGCCGTAGAGAAAGAGAGAGGGAGGTAGCTCAATTTTCAAACATAAATAAGAACTACTCAATTTATTTCAAATTAATTATTGATTATGAAAGATCATTTAAAATTTTCTTTGTCGAAAATGGCAATGACGGCAATTAAAAAAAATTATGAACGGTGTTATATATCATAAAGGAAAGTGAACATTATTTCAAAAATCAAAAGCAAAATTTAAATATTCGTTAATTTTGCATTACTTTGCATGATATTAAAATTGTTATTTGAAAATTACGAATTTAAAAATATTTATATAAGCGATATATTTTTTAATTAGATATTATAAAAATTAAGGGTTTAAAAATAAATTAATTTATTTAAAAATAATAAAAATAAAAAATTCAATTTGGATAAAAAGAGTATTCTTTATTCCATGAATAAAGTAAACGTCAACCTTTGTCTTCAGACCATCAAGACGACATTAATACCATAGAAAACATACCTATTTGACCATTATTTAGCAGTAATATATGAAATTTGGCCATTTTTACCCATTGGGAAAACCTAAAGGGCTAAATTATAGTAACCATCAATTCCTTCTGAGAACCCTGATTCCCCTCCAACGAGACTCCATGTAATTGGATTCATCATTTTGTGCATAAACTCCAAATTTGAAATAATGATGGCTTCCTCCATCACCGGATCCTTGATATCTTAGGACTCCATCAATATAAACCTTCACATTCGATGCACCCACATCATGGATTACGTTCACTTTGAACCATCTGTTGTACATGTTTGACAACACCACCGGATTCCTGTAAACCGTGAGCGAGCCGGTGTATACTCGGAGCATTATGGTCGTAGCACGAGATGTACCACCGAATATTTGCATGATGGATGTACCGGTTGTTCCGCTTGGGACATATGCTTGCCCCTCAAATTGCCAAACCCCAGAGGAGTAATCATAGCCCTAGGGAAAAAAAAAAAAGGTTGACAACATATTTGAGCACTATTGTTGCTTTCATTGAATTTGAAATAGTTGTTTTTCTTGACTTTTGTTGGTTGCATTAAATCAATCTTACTAGTTTTAGTCCAATGGTTTATCCAATGATATGCAAACGACAATTCGAATATTTGGTATGCATGTATTTTTTAGCAAAAGAGTTGGATTCCATTTTTTTTCTTTTGCAAATAAATTTTAAATTAGATTAAAAGTTATATTAATATTTTTAAAATATCGACAATTGATTGATTGTTGATATGATGAATTAAAATAAAAAAGAACTAAGTAATAAGACTACTTAAAATAAAATAAAATAACTAAGAGTACTTAAAAATGAAGATATGTGATACTGATTAAAAAAAAGAAAAAAACAACAACAACAACATTGAATTTTTTTTACTTACTCGAATTCGGATCTCTGTGCGTGGCTTAGTATTGCTACTTGGAGTATGAGGCTTGTCTGTGGCAAACACCCACAGTCTGTGTTCGCCATTATTGAAACTGTATCGTTCGTTTGGAGACTTATCATAGGGCTTTTGCAGCTCGAAATTTGATTGAGACAGAGAAACGGCGGTAAACCCACTTGTAGGATCTTGCTGGGCATTGGCCTGGAAGGAAATAAGCTGACTAAGACAAAGAAGCGAAAGAAGGAGTTGAAAAGCCATCTCAAGAGAGCTGAAAGGAAGATACATAGAAATGAGACTGAATATTGGATTTGTGCAAATTAGTGTTGTTTTGAGCATATTTATAATGGTTTTTGTTTGAAGTGAATTAATTGAGTTTGAAGAGAAACGCCGACGCCAAAAGACAAACATTTAACTGTACAGAGAGAAATGAAATTTTCAAAGAAAATCAGGTTTGCAAACTTGAAGATAATGTTGATTCATGAATGTAATTGGTTATGGCGGCTGAGAGGGAAACGTCAACCTTTCTGAAGTAATCTAGCTTATGATATTTCAAGAGTAAAAGATTGGTAGTGCCTCAAAAATGAGGGAACTCGTTCTATCTTATTTAGGGATATGCCAAACTTCTATTTTAACTTCAACAAGCTGTTGGCCAGTGAGTTGTCATTGCATTTTTTTGGACAAATTTTCTAATACTAGTTTATTACTTGACGGTTGAAACACAAAATTATAGACCAACATGTTCTCTTGATTAAATAAAGTTCTTAATAATCTTTAGAACACAATAATCTTCTAAACAAATTAGGTTTATGAAGTCACTTTTAAAAAATGTCATTCACTAAGTTTCCCATTTAAATTTTAACATATATATATATATATTTTTTTTTTCTTATTCTTAGATTGTAACCCTTTTTTTATATATAAAAATGTATTGTATTTAAGAAAAGTATCTTTTGTTCTTAAATATAGAAAAACCAATCATTTTGTTGACTTAACTAAAATGAGATTCATGAACGAAGTCAGAATTTTTACTTTGGAGGGATTGATATAAAAGTAAGGTAAATTAATACAAATTTAATAAGAAAAATTAATGTTAAATAAAATAATAACGTAATTAAATAAAAAAGTATATATTTCTTTTCATGATTAAAAGAAAATTTTTGGATATTTAAAGAATAATTAAAATCTAACTAATAATTTTTTGAAAAAATTAAAAATAAAAGTAATAAATTAAAAGGTTGAGTTTTAGAAATAAAAATTTCCACAAAAATAAAAAAATTATAATGTACAATTAAATTTGTAATTTTATGTGCACAATATATAGGTAGTGAATTTTTTTTAATTGTATTTTTTTGCCTATATAAAAAAATATTTTGACATAATAATTAATGTCAACATGCTTGTTTAATTAATTGAAAAGAAAATTTCATTTTAAGAAACTAAAAAATTTAATGAAATAATAATATTACATTAAAAAGTTTAAATTTTTTAATTAAAAAAGGAAAGAAAATCAATTTATTTATTACATCTACAAGTAAAATTTGTAAAAAATTATGAAATTTACCGTATCATTACAATTGTTAATAAATGAATGATCAAATTATTAATTTTTTTGGTAGGGGTAAAATATGATTTTATCATTTAGTGGATAAAAATATACTTATTTTAAAGTGATCTTGGGGAACAAAGGGGGCCAGGCCCTGCCAGCCCCTTTCTAGATTCGCCTTTGATAAGGTGCATGAAAATATTGATTTGGTGCTCTGATTATAATTTTATTATTATCTTCTATCGAGAAATTTTAATTTTCAAATAAAAAGGATGAAAGTTTCAGCAACTTCCTAGACCTATAAAGCTTTAGAAAGAAAATAACAAAACCCAAATAAAAAACCACCGCAATCGTATACAGATTCCTAGAACTATATTGACTTGCTAAAATTATTTTACTATCGGATGGCATGAGATTTTGACAATGATGAAAGCATTTCCCTTATAATTATTTATGTTATAATCTTATAATTAATCATCTTAGGAAAGAAAATCTAAAGATTTATTATTTAAAAACCTAGATTTTATAAAAATTTTTGATGAACTCCTCAAAATTTAATAATGTTTGTTTGATTAATTGAATTGTAGTAATTTCAATTGATATATTTCCACCACACTCGTTATCAACAAAAATATCAAAACCTCAGCCTGGTGGCTCAATAATTTTATATTTGAGCATGCTCTCTATTTTTCATGTATTGTCGGCAAGAATAAGATAAAGATATACAAAGAAATAACATGTGGCTTCTACAGGTGTAAGGTTTTTTCGGCTCATCTTTGTTTTGCCTAACACGTTTCAATGGCTCTACTATCTCTATCCACTCTCTCTCCTCTTGCTTCGTCATGGTCTCCTTCTTATCTACAACTTCACGCCTGAATGTCTGTTTTTTAGGTGTAGGTTTTGTTCTTCCCTTTTCTTTCATTTTTTTCTTTTATTTATGCGTTTTGGTAAAATTTTTTTCTTTTTTTTTTTGTTGTTTAATTGAATGTGGGTTTTGTTTTTTTGAGTTTTGTTGGAACGATCTTGGTGTTACAGGCTTTAATTTTGCCTTTGCATATTCGGATCCCAGATGAAAATCAGTCTTTAGTTATTACTTTCTGCTCTGTGGGGGTTCTGTATTGTTTGTTTGTTAAGAAATTTCAGGGCTTTTTCAATGAATGTGTTTCTCTTTCGATGGGTGACAAAATTTTTGAGTTTTTGATTTTCGGTGATCCTTCTCAGATCAGAGATTTATTGTTTTTGTTATTTTTGGTTATGTTTATATATTTGGTAGAAAATTATTTGGGTAGGTTTTTTTTTGTTGCATGTTATTGGGAAGAGTTTTCTTTTAATTTGGTGAGTATTTTGTTTTTTTGGCAGGAATTGTTGAAGATTTGATGCTGTTTTGATCTAAGGTGAGCTCTTTTAAAGATTTGTTCGTGTTGGTTTAGTACTTTTCTCCAACTTTTGTAATAATTGGATTGTATGTATAATGTTTAGAATAGTATGTTTTTTGAAGATTGTTTTTTTTTTTTATCTTTATTTGATTTTTTTTAGGAATTGTTCAATGCTGCTCCGTGATTAAGTTGAAGCTTAGTGTATGATTTATTTTTTTATTGTCTTTTTTTTATCTCTAAGTTGAATGGGATTTTCTTTTGTTGCATGTTATTCCTTGATTATATATGAAATGAAACACTATTATATATCACAATGTTTCTACACCCAAATGTTTCATTTACTCTTGCCTTTATTCTTTGAAATGCTCCTCCTACAACCAAACAGAATATAGTTAATTTTTTGAGCATGAGAGAGTAGTGCAGCATTTTTAGCAACCATGTGGGTGTCATTTTTAAGAACAGCAAGAGGACGAAAAATGCAAAGCTAATCTAACATCTGATGTGTAATTGTTTCTATGATGCATATAAATAATCTGTAGTCACAATGAAATTCATGACCACAAACTTTAGTTGCATTTCCCTCATAATCATGTTTGTTCTATGTTTTTGTTGTAATTTCAGAACATATCACCCTAGATTCTATGATAGGATCCTTTTTCAAATTTGATATTTTCTTGAATACTGAACATGTATTAATTTAAATCCATCCAACAGCGGTCATTTGCAGCCTCACATGCAATTTCAGCTTAGGAATGTGGAGGTTACTTTTTGTTCAGGAACAGGCATGAATTTGATGAACTTACCTAGGATGTCATGCTTAAACACTTAGTTTCTTCCTCGACGATAATGACTTTGAAGCTGTGAAGCAGCTTTGTTGTAGCATTGCCGGTAAATTTCATATTTAATCTCAAAACTTTTTAATGTATGTCTGATGACCTGCTTGCTATTGCTATTGGCCATGTTTTGATAAATCGAACCCTACTAAATTGTTAATGATGTTAACGATTGCTTAAGTTATCTGGAATGAATCTAATTATGCTGGTGCATGGTGCTGACTAAGTGATAATCATATAAGTTGGTTTCAATGGCAGATCTATGATTTCTTTTTGGGTTTGCATTTATAATATATATATATATATATATATATATATAAAACTGTTGATAGATTTACCAATTTTATGGTGTTTAATAAAAATTTTTCTTCAAAATTTTTTTTCATCTTTGGAAGTATTTAAAAGAAAATTTTGAGGTGTTCAGTGAAAAATTGCACTCAATTTAGATCTTGCTCAAGTTGCTGAATTTGTCAAAGCACGCCTTGGCGCTCAGGTCACATATCTATCTTAATCTAACAATTTTCTCACTATTCTTTCAGGTGCCATTTCTCATCATTCATGCATCACTTTGATTTGAATCCTTCTGTTTTAGGTTGAGATGGGTGGTTGCAAAGCTCTTATAACCACATTCATTGTTGAACCTTTTGTCCCCCATGAACAAGAGTATTACCTTTCGATAGTCTCTGAAAGGCTTGGTTCAACCATTAGCTTTTCAGACTGTGGAGGTATCGAAATTGAAGAGCAGAGGATAAGGTATTTTGTCAATCTTTTATTTTTGTCCTTTACCTTAGTTTTATCTTAGGCTTTTCTCATTTCCTCTGATTGCATTCCTTCACCATTTGTTGAATGTATAATTTAAAAAGTTGATATGTATTTCATCTATGATTTTTTTTTTCTTTACAGGTTAAGACAATTTTCCTTCCATCTGAGAAACCTATGACCCTCAAGATGTGCACCATTGATAGCTACACTCTCTTTGGAAGTGAGTTTCATTAGTATCTTTTTTCAATTTATTTATTTCCTTCTAACTTTTAATGGCATCTCTTCGGAATTTATTCCCATATCTTCAGATGTATCATTGCTGATAATTTGCAACCTATTATATCTATTAATGGTTTTAGTCTCTTTTGCTATATTGCATTGTGATCCTATTGTTTTTGGTGCACCAGCAAATGGAACATATGCTGCACTTGGTGGTGACCCTAATTTTGTTGGTAAAAAAGGTCAAATCAGTGCAATGTATGACATTAAGCCAGCTGGTGGATCAACCGATGAGAATGCTGCTGCGACTGGAAACACAACAGTAGATGCATCTAAAGTTGCTAGTTATAATTCTTTTTTAAATGGCAATGTTGTTAATGAAGTAGGGAATGCCACAACAATTGAGAATGAAAATGTTTTTGATAATGTGGGTTGAGCTTCTGCTGCACCTGAGTTTGTGGATGGTTCCGGTATGTTTTTCTTTGGCATATCTGTGACATGCATCTGTTATGAACAGGAAACTTTTTCTTGATTTCAGTTTATGTTGAAGATTGCATCATGTAATATGATTTGCAAACTAGCTCAATAATGACAATTTAGAAGAAGAATTTTGGTTACTGAATAAACTTCAGCTGCCTGCATTATTCTAAACTAAATAAAACTCTCTTATTTTCTTGAGGCTGTGTTCATATCATCTAGAAAAAAAAGTGGGCATATCAAATTTTATATAGCATTTTCATTTTTCTGCTATTTTACACCAACAACTAACCACCCTAAAGATATGCCATAATAGCTAAAAGCTCTGATAGTTGAGCACCAAATGGCCTTTATCCACTGGTAATCTCCCATGAAGCATTTTTCCTGATCAACATGATACACGTGGTAGTTCTTTGGACCTCTACAGCTTAGTTTTGATTATAAGTATCCTTTTCCTTATTCAACATTATTGTTATTATTAGTAATTAAATTTACAAAATGTGAAACTCATTTGCGTTTTTTGTTTTTATTTTTGACTTACAGTGCCACCTATCTGGTGAAGAGGATCATTTGTGGGGTATTGTGAGAGGTAATTCTTATTGGTTCACTGCCAAAGATGGCTGGATGTGGTTGGTCGCTCTTATTTAATCTGGCCTGAAATGTTGCATGATTTGTTTTAAAGATGATTATACTATATTAATTAGAAATTATGTGGGTCATTAAGTACTTCCTGCTTCCTCTGTTAGAAACCAACACCCTGCAGGACTTTCAAGTATGATGATTGATAAATTTAGGAGGTCTATGGTGGTGTTATAATGATCTGGTATTTCTTTCTAGATTTTTAGTCTTTATCTAAGTAGATTGGATTTGTGATTGTGACAAGCTGAAATGGATGTATTTTCTCTGTTTGAGGGTTGATAGGATGAAAGAGCTGCATGTGCTAGGTACATAGATACCAGACATTTGCATTGCATGATGAATTTTTTAGAACCTTTCAATGAACTTGATATTTGTAGCTGCACTTTTTAGGTGATTATCTGCTTTGTAATATGGTTAATTCATGGACGGATGGAACTTTTTGACTCTTCATTAAGAAGAGAATTTGCAAAAATTAAGTTTTATTATTTGCTTTTGCTGGCTATTAAGAAGAGTTTGTTTTCTTTGAAGTATGCTCTAATGGGTGTTACCTCTTCCATATATTTCTAAACTGCTACTGAGAATTAAAGTAATGATGATTTTTTTAATTAGAATATTTTGTGATGGGGTGTGGGGATTGGTTTTGTTCTTTATTTCTGTACATTAAAGTCATCGCAAGAACTATATTGGAAGTATTAGCACGAGTAAAAGAACTATAACAAGAATCGTAGTGTATGAATAGTCGTATTGTTAGAAGAAATTTTCTTCTGCTTACGGTGAAGTTTGTTTAATAAAAGAGTTGGTGGAGGTTTTAAGGCAATTGACCCTCACTATAGCAAATTTAAACATAAGATTTACTTCAAGCTTTAGGTTTCTATTACATCGTTAATTCCCACTTTTGGTTAAATTTTCTTGATAGCATAAAATTTGGGCTATACATCGTTAATTCGTTGTTTTGGTTGAGTTTTTATTTATTATATCCTCCAATACTATTTAAAAACCTTTAAAATAATAAATTTGTCATAAATATGAAGTCACAACAATGTAAACTTAGTAAAAGCTAAATTGACTTTATTCTAGCTTTAACAACAACACTACAAATCTCAAATCCAAGTACCAAACGTGTTATGCTTTACATTATTTCGATTAAAATTTTCTCTTCAATTTATAATTTCCCTTTTAATTTTGCATTAGATTATTTTCTCCTATTATCTTACAATTTTTTTAATATAAAAGTCAGATTGGTTTTATAAAAGATTAGAAAACTAAACTTATGATTTCAAATTTTCAACTTCAAATTTTTTAAAGGTATATTTTATTTTTCTTGTTTAGATAAAGATATATTATTTAATGATAAAATTATTTGTACTTTTTATTTCAAATTTAAATTATCAAAAGAATCAAAGAAATTTCACCCATAATTCATTGAAACATAGTGAAAATCATGTGTAGATATCCAATTTAGATCAGGCTCATATTATTGGGCTTGGTCCAAATGAGTAGGCTCGTTTTATTTTTTATTTTGGTATTTTTGTTTTTTGTATCTTAGTTACTTATTATTTATTATTACTATCTATTAATATATATATTTTTATTTTCATTTTTATTATTTATCTGTTGATATACATATTATTATTTATTTATTATTATTATTATTATTTATCTATTAATAGTTTTATTTATCTAATTTTTTTTTTGTTATCTATTAATATATTTATCTTTTTATTTTGATTAATTTTTGGTTAAGATTAGGATAAAAAATTTGGAATGAATTTAGTTGTGATTTGAGAATTGACAGAGTTAGGATTGGATTCAAAGATTGAATCAAATTTCAGAAAGAGTTGGGATTAATCAGAAATTGTTTTGATCAATCATTATAAATAGGTATTGGAAGAACAAAAGAAAACACAAAAAAAAAGCAAATACAGAGAAAAAATAAAAGCTAAAAACGGTTTTGGTGTGTTAGAATTTTGAGTCGAGTCTTCGAACTGTTTTTCTTCATCAAGTCGAGCCGAGCCGTTCCCAGGTTTTGTTTTTTTCGTTTTTTTTTAATTAATTAATTAATTATTATTATATTAGGATTGTTTAATATTGTTATTTTTTTTATTTTCGTTTTTTTATTTTTATTTTTATTATTTATTATTATATTAGGATTGTTTAATATTTTTATTTTTATTTTTTATTTTCGTTTCTTATATTTTATTTTATTTAAATAAAGTTAAAAAAATATTTTTTCTTAAAAATAAATTTTTTTAAAAAATGGTTTTAAGGAAAAGTTAAAAGTATAAATTTTTTTTAAAAATAAATTTCAAAAAAGATTTTTTTGAGAAAAAGTTGAAAGTATCAATTTTTCTTAAAAATAAATTTTAAAAAAGATTTTTTTGAGAAAAAGTTGAAAGTATTAATTTTTCTCGAAATTAAAGTTTTTTAAAAAATATTTTAGGAAAAAGTTGAAAGTATCAATTTTTCTTAAAAATAAATTTTCAAAAAAGTTTTTTTTTTGAGGAAAAGTTGAAAGTATCAATTTTCTTTGAAATTCAAAGTTTTCAAAAAATATTTTCGGAGAAAAGTTGAAAGTATCAATTTTTTTTAAAAATAAATTTTCAAAAAAAAAAGATTTTGAGAAAAAGTTGAAAGATCAATTTTCCTCGAAATTAAAGTTTTCAAAAAATATTTTTGAGAAAAAGTTGAAAGTATTAATTTTCCTTAAAGATAAATTTTCAAAGGTATTTTTGAAGAAAAATTGAAAGTATCAATTTTTCTCGAAATTCAAGTTTTCAAAAACAAAAATATTTTTAGGAAAAAGTTAAAAGTATCATTTTTTCTTAAAAATGAATTTTCAAAAAAAGTTTTTTTTTTAGGAAAAATTGAAAGTATCAATTTTTTTAAAAAATAAATTGTCAAGAAAGGTTTTTTTTTTTAGGAAAAGTTGAAAGTAATTTTTTTCGAAATTAAAATTTCAAAAAAAAAAATTTTGGGAAAAAGTTGAAAGTATCAATTTTTTCTTGTACAAAAAGCAATCATTTTTTTTTATTTCCTTTGAATTTTTTTTAATGTTAAGTAATCCGACGATGGAGTCTCTGTATGTGAAACAGTAATTTTTTTGCATACTTTTGAGGTGAGGGGATTTTTTTAATTTTTTGTTAAAAGTATTAGAGTTAATTGAGAATAATTTTTGACAATTAATTATTTGATAAATTTTTAAAACTTATTGGATAACAAAAAATTAAGTTGGTATCATCTTTTGATGGACGTTGTGAAGGTGTTATAACATTCTTCACACGTAATCGAACTCCCGAATCTTATTCTGGTTTGTAAATTCGAACCTATTCTTTTAGGGACCCTTAAACTTAGGTGTTCATGAAAAAACAGATTCTTTAGGTGGTCAATCGCACTTAGATAAAAAAAATTGGTGGTGACTCTTTAAGTCAATGTTTAGTGATAGATCTTCGGATCTAGACGTTATGACAGCTTGACGACTCCACTGAAAAAACTGAGAGTCAGACCAGCAAATAAATTTATGTTATCCAAAGCCTAATAAAATTAAACTTTTTTGTATATATATGTTATTATTCATTCATGTTTATTTATTTTATTAATTATGTCATTCATATGCATGTGTATAACATGAGCTCTATACCCGAGCTTCATCCTTCTAGGAGGGAGTAAAGTACCTATTGCTTTCGTGAGGTCTAATGCCTCCGCAGTGGCTAGCGAAATACTCTCACTCAAATTGAATTTTTTTCGCTTGTAGCTTGTAATGGGTGAGGATTATGGTACCTTACTAGTCTGTGATGGACAAGGATGTAAGGAACAATACGGAAACCTTTAGATTTTAACCTTGAATCACATATAGTGAACCTTAGAAGTGCTTAAATCTAGGATAGAGCTTTTTTTACCCAATGATAGATATACCCTGAAATTAAGACACAAAAAGGGTGTTTATCTAATCATTTTGATTGTTTAATTTTGTTCATCATTTTCATTATTATATGTAATATTATGCATCAGTATCACTTTCATTTCATCCATGAAACTATGTTGTTTGTCTGATTGTATGCATCTGCATTATTTTCATGATCATGTTTTAACACAATCATTTGCATCCATTTCATATTAGATTTCATTCAAGAAAATGTACATTTCGTTCGTGCGTCAAAGGATCATACATAAAGCATAGCATAACATTTCTAATCATAATTGTGATGTTAAAGGTTCAAGGATAGCTCCGTCTAATAGAACCTTATCCATCGATACAACACAAGATCCAGAATCAGACAAATGGAGCAAAAAAATTTTCACAGATTTGAAAAGATAAAAAAAGCACAGGAGAAGATGAAAAATGAGTTAAGCAAGATTTTAGATGCTCTCAATAAGATGAATAAAGGAAAAGGAGTTGAAGAAAATACAAGCCAACAAGTTTTTTCATTGCAAGAAGTGGCTGATCCTTTGTATCCTATAGGTTTTGGCCCACTTCAAGCCCAGTTTGCATAAGAGGTTCCACCACAACATTTCGCATATCTAATATATCTTGAAATACCATCAGCTTTCAGCCTAGGGCATTATAATAGCTATATAAATCTTGTCTTTATTGAAAAGGCAATAGAACTAATTCCTGATCTAGATGATTTGAAAAAAAAGAAGAAAGAAAAGATAAGGGTGAAAACTCAAGAAAGCTTTAAGATTAGTATGCTAGAATAAACGTTATGGGCTGTAGAAGGATTTGATTTCTATGGTTCAGTTGATGCTGCTGGGCTCTGCTTAGTCCTTGATGTGGTCATTTCTCATAAGTTCAAAGTACCAGAATTTGAAAAATATGATGCTATGAAGTGCCCTAAAACTCACATCACTATGTATTGTCGAAAAATGACAGCTCATGCTCATGATGAAAAATTTTTGATGCATGTCTTTCAAGATAGCCTTATAGGCTCAGCGACCAGGTGGTATGTTCAGTTGGACAGAACCTGTATTCGCTCTTGGAGCGATATGACTCATGATTTTATCAGTCAATATCGACATATGATGAATTTGGCCTCTGATCGTTTATCTTTACAAAACTTGGAGAAAAAGGTCAATAAGACTTTTAAAGACTATGCTCGAGGTGGAGGGATATTGCTTTTCAAGTACAGCCTCCTCTGACTGAGAAAGAAATTATAGTGTTGTTTGTCAGCACTTTGAAGTCTCCCTATTATGAAAAGATGATAGGGAATGTAACAAAGAATTTCATTGACATGGTGATCTCTGGAGAAATTATTGAAAGTGTCATAAAAAATGACAAGTTGAAAGGAGGAGAAACCAAGAAGGCATAAAAAAAGAAAAAAGCTGAAGCTGAAGCTGTGAGCTTTGACAGACAACAATCCAGGGGTTATCAACCCTATCCACTCCAAAGTTACTCCCCATACTATCTTGTTGTGAATAATGCCTCATCTTACCCATACCAGCTAGCTCTACAACCACCTTATTCATTCACATATCGATCATTTTTTAGCCTTCAAGATCTTACATATAGCTTTAGTATTCAAGTTCCTGTAAGAATCCAAATTCGTCCTACTAACCCAGCAAGTGGTTCACAAGAACAACGGACTACTCGAAAAAAACATGTATTTGATCCAATCCCTATGACTTATACGGAGTTATATCGAGAACTCTATAATAGTCATTTGATTGCCCCCAGTCATGTGGAGCCGCTTAAGCCACCTTATCCTAAGTGATATGATCCTACAGTCCACTGCGACTACCATTATGAAATTACTGGTCATTTTACTGAAAATTACATTGCTTTAAAGCATAAGGTGCAACGGTTGATCAATGATGGAACCGTAAATTTTGATCAAAGAAAAGCAACAACACCTAATGTTAGCGTTCTAAGTGAAAGTCAAGAATAGAAAGGGTCCGGAGAGTCACAATGAATTGAGGGGTAAAATGTCAATAGAGATTCTTCACTTGATTGCATAGGGGGACAATTTTGAAGAATGTAGATAAGGCTGGTTAAAGGTTTTTTTTTATCATTTTAGGATTTTTTTTCGAGTAATGTTAGATTTCTTTTTGCAATATGACTTCATTGTTATCATTTTAATAAAGGCAAGTTAATGCATTTCATTACATTTTCTCTTTCACTCGATCATTATTTCATGCTCTGTTACCTTTCATAATTTTACATTCCCATTCTCAAATTTCAGATGAATATTTAGATAATGATAACAATAATTTTGAGATTTAATTTTGAGAACTCATTCACATTAATATGAGGAGATAATTTGAGCAAAAAAGTGAGCTGTTATCAGAGGTTAAATAGATATATTTTGAAGATGTGCAATCTTTTATACAGGTTCATAAGCTTTGTTCAATAGATTACGTTCAAGAAAAGTATTCACAATTGAGATGAAAAATAATCATCTTTTTTTTATCACTCGAAAAATCATTTATTGTTACCCTTTTGAGCCTATTATGATTTTTTTTTTTAAAGAAATCCAACCAAGGATCACCTTCTACACTGGAGGGTAATTTTAAAAAGAAAATCACAAAAGGTCTCAAAGATGGAAAGAGAAAGAAAAGC